TTTTTGGCACAATGAAGGAGGCTAAAAGCCTAGAAGAGGACACTACACGACTATACTACGCGGATGAGCAACATTCGCTAAGCCATGTTCCAATCAAATCTTAACCCCGATTTTAAGGATCGTGTAACCGCAGATATCCTAGCGAACCCAACGCTGCTTGTGCGGCTAGATAATCGGCTGCGTAATTAACTTCCCTATAGTTGTGACGAATCATTACCTCCCAAATGCGCGTCAAGAGGTCCTTGATAGCCATAATCAGACCCCTATGCATCCCTGTAGGTTCTTCCTTGTTCAAGACCATTTGAACAATACTAGAGTTATCAACCTCGGCTAATATTATGCGACCCCCAGCTCCCACGCAGGTAGTAACTTGTGGTATAAACCCCAAAGCTTTGTCCCGACAATTGAACAAAGGCCAATATTATGAATCGACCAACCCATCTCCCATTCGAGTCGCGAATAAGACCAATATTATGCTTGCATCTATCTCTAGCTTGACGGGTCTGTACATTAAAGTATTAGAAATGCTATATCAAAATTAACTTGTGTAAAAAACACATAAAACACGTCATGTTACAACAATGACACTAATAATAACATAAGAGAAAATCAAATATTAACAACAATGAGACTTTGACAATATATTTTTTCACGTGCCTAATAAAAATAATTTGAAAAGATAAATTTTAAATGGTTTATTGCCCCAAATCTCCTGTATTATATGGAATTTGTGGAATCTGCCTGATTTTTCTTGGTATTTCAAAAATTGCATCAAACTCGCTTGTACTAACGGTTGCACGATTCTTCCTCTCCGTCCAACTTACCGGCGCGTGCACGTGTAATTTTAACTGTACTAAAATTTACTATTTTGCCCTGCTTTTCTACTCATTATTATGCAAAAATTGTTGATCATGAGATTTGATCTTGGGCCAAAAGCTCAAGTGGAAAGACTTCATACCACTCTGTCACCATCCTTCTTAGTACATATCTAACAAACATTTATTTAAAACTGCTAAACACAAGAAAACTAATCAAACAAAAAATAAAACAATCACAAAATAAAGTAAAAATAGAAAATATAATTAAAATAAAATAGGAAAATAAAAAATAATTAATCAATATATTACCATTTAAGATAAAAAATAAGATGATAATTTCATATAAATAAATTAAAAAATATTTTTATAAAATAAATGTTAATATAAATTTTAATGTTATAAAATAACTGTTAATAATTTTTTTAAATATTTTATTGTACAAATGTTGTTGCAGAAATATAGCGCAATGTAACGCACAATAGCGTGAAATAGCGTAAAGAAGCGTGCCATTTCAACATATCACGTAAGCTTTTCGAGAAAAATACTAAATATATAAGGCTACGTCGCGTTTTTCCGAGAAAAAGCTATATAGCGAGCAATAGCGAGCTATTTAAAACAATGAGAAAAACACATAATTACAAATAGAAGACAGCCCGACAGCTGAATAAAGCAGCTATAAAGCCAAATTCTAATGAGAGGACAATCCCGAGGACCGCCTAGAAATTACACGGGCTACTAAACAACTTACTCACCAACACAAACAAAAGAAATCTAAAGCTCCACAAATTGAGAATAAAAGTTTCGTTAAGGGAGATAACACACTCCCCTATAGGAGAATAACACACACAAGAGAACAAAGTGTTTTTTTGACTCGGACTGGGTTTCTACTTTTTAGAGAGAGAAAGTTAAATTGGAAAATAATCTTATATGATTAAAACCATAGTTTTTTTTACCCGACTGGCCCGGCGGGTCGATCCGGGACCCGACCGACTCGGAGCCAGAACCGGTTTGGGTGAGCTATTTAGACTGGACAACAAAGGACTTGGTCAAACCCGGGTCAACTCGGCCTTGACCCTGCCTACTCGGGGCATTGGCCAGGCACGATCTACCTGGTTGACCCAGCCCATATATGTATATATTTTTTTATTTTTTTATTTTATTTTGTTTTATTTTCAAAATAAAACTATATATATGTTTATATGGTAAGTATTATCATGAGATATATATTGTTAACACTTTACTGTAGAAATTTTATACACTAAACATTTATTTTTGTTACTTTTATGTATATTTATATAACAAAAACTCTATATATAATTTGAAAAAATTTAAAATTATCTATCTGATTCAGCAATTGACCCGATGACCGAAGACGTACCGATGGATTGTCGGGCCGAGTTAAAACCTATGATTAAAACTACGATTTTGCCTTCTTTCACCAGCTGAACCATTTTTCTACACTACGCCCCCAAACAATCCTTAAACCAAGTCCTGTGTGAGACTCCAATGCTTCTTCGGCGCACCACCATTGCCGCCGCCGCCGCCGTACTATTCCGCTCTTCCACTCTCCACTTCTCCACCGCCGCCGCCACCACCACCGCTAAAAAACTCTTCTCCAAGATCCCTTGGAGGCACAGACCCAAAGCCATTCACGAATCGCAGAAGGCCCTCACGGACTACCTCCACTCCACCCGCTCCCTGCCTTTCTTCTACGCCGACAAAATCGCCAGAAACTCCCCGCAGTCCCTCTCGAACATCGTCTCCGGAATAGCCTTCTCCCTGCCGACGTTCGCGTCCTCCTTCCAGCGATTTCTCAGGTACCACCCGATTAACGAACTCGATTTTTTCTTGGAGAGCATCGGCTTAAATTGCTGCGAAGATCAAAGCGGGCGTCCTGTTTTTCCCCCGAACACGTTTTCGCTCTCCGATTGCAGGTACTATGACGCCGCCTGTGCTCTGGCGAGTATGGGTTTCCCGTGGAGCAAGCTGGGGTTGCTGTGTGCGGACGGGTTTTCCATATTCGAATCTAACCCGTTGGATTTGAAAAGACGAATTGGTGAGATTAAAGATGTTTATGGGTTTAACACTGTTACCGTAATCAGCATTTGCTTGGCTTTTCCTAGGGTTTTGTACAATAATAGTGAAAAAATGGGTGTGTTGTTGAGTGATTTGAAGGTATTGTTTTTGGACTATGATTTGTTGGGCTGTGTGGAGGGTGGTGATGTGGAATCCGTGTTTGATGTGTGCGAAAAAATCAAGTATTTTTACGACCCGGATCGTGAGATGGGTGGAATGGGTGAGCTCATGGGGAGGAACAAGAGTGTACTTATCGAGTACCCGAGAGAGGTCTTGGTCAGCAAGATTGAATTTTTCCGTAAATTGGACATCCAGAATGACGAAATCTGCAATTTTCTCCTCTCAAAACCGGAAATATTCGATGTCGATTTGGAGACCCAGGTTGTCTCAGTTTCGGGATTCTTGAAGCAATTGGGGTTGAGCGAGGACGAACTTGAATCCCTTAAGCAGAAATATCCTCACGTTTTCGGAAGAAATCGATTGGCTAATTTGCCTAACGCAATGAGGTCGATGAATCTTGAGAAGTGGTTTTTCCAGAGACTGAAAAACGACAATCACAATTTATTAGCTAATTATACCATTTGTTGCTCGGAGGATGTGGATAGGCAATATGAAGAATATCTAAGGAAGATTCTTGCTAAGAGAACACACGTTCACACGATTAAAAAGCTCAATTTTTTGCATGGCATTGGTTTTGGAGAGAATAAGTACGCAGCTGAAGCTTTGGGTTCACTATTCAGCAATGGTGACCAGCTGCAAAGCCGATTTGATTGCCTCATTAATTGTGGGGTTGAGTACTCGAGACTTTGCACGATAATAAGGTGGATGCCAAAAATCCTTAATCAGCAGGAAAACAAGCTTGTGAAAAAGATCGAGTATTTGTGCAATGACTTGGGCTTGTCCCTTGAGTACCTAGATATTTTCCCTGGGTACATGCGTTTCGATCTCGAAAAACGGATTAAACCGAGGTGTAAGTTTCACAAATGGCTTATGGAGAGGGGCTTGTGCAAAAAGAAATATGCCCTGGCGACTATAATAGCTTGTAGCGAGAAAGCATATGTTGCCCATCTTTCGCGCATCAGTCCTGATGCGGTGAGGGTTTGGGAAGAGGGCCGAGAGGATTGGGCTTCGGGCTGAAACATGCCGTGGTGAGTAATTGTGTAAATTGGCTAGTTGTATGATTAATCACGTGACATTACAAATCTTGTAGCGGCCCATAGTGATTATGTGATGTGTAATTTGAATACATGTTTCGATAAACTCGTGCGCGTAGATGACGAAAAAATGATTGCCATCTTTTTGTTGGAGAAAATAAAAATACGTACCGGTTTTTGCAGTTGCCAACTTATTCTTATTTCGTGAGAAGTGATAAGGGATCAGTACCTACCACTAGAGAGGCATGGAAATGGATACTTTCTGAATAGGCTATGTGTAGTTTAGAATTTGGCTTTTGGTTATATTCTCCCTTGCCTTATTGCAAGCATTTGAGGATGATGCAAAATGCAGGTGATCTCTAGCAGAATACTGTTAAGATCACACAAGCATTTGAAGATGTTGCAAAATATGTTTGCGCCTTTTTGTCGGTAAGAAAAATATTTGTAATCCTGTTTGATACAATTGTTCATTTCGATATTTTCGTTGATGTAGTTTAACCGTTAGGCAAGTAGATTTGTTGTGTTTTTTTTCAACGAAAGTGTGTACTTTTATTATAAAATATCATACTTTTGTTTATGTTGCACAAATTAAACGAGCTTGGCTCGAGTTCGAGGTCTAACGAGCTGAGCTCGAGCTCATCTAGAGCTCGTTTGGTTAACAGCTCGACTCGACAAGACTCGAAAAGAAAATTTTTGTATAATATTTTATAGTTCGGCTCGTTAAGGCTCGAGATCGTTTTGTTAAGACTCGAGCGCGATTTCTGGCTCATTTATTTAATGAGCTCGACTCGGCTCGTTAAGGGTTCGAGCTCGAGCACCCAGAACTCGAGCTTGGCTCGACTCGTTTACAGCCCTAAAAATATGTAAATATGTGGAATAAGTATCTTGTGTAACTTAAGTATGTCAATTTAATCACGGAGACCTGTTCGGGTTGATTTTCGGACCGCGTTTAAAAACTATGATGTCACCAACAAGGGCATAGTAATAATATTTTAATATTTATTAAACTAATTAATTAATTACAATCACTTATACTTTTAAAAATCATATTATTCATTACATTTTATACAATTTACACAGTGATCCATATACAAATACAATAGTTATAAATAGAAGAAAAATATAATTCTTGATTTACACCGACAAAAAAAAAAGAAGAATAACATTAAAATTATCAAACGAGTTTTGAAAAGTGAAAAAAAGGACTACAATAAACAAAATACATCACATTAAATATTTACTTTAATATTTACACACAAATATATCTACGGTTAAAAATTAAAACTAAAAATTAAAACTCCGACGGAACGGTTACATAAACAGTCTGTAGTCATTCTCTTAATTTTATTATATATTTTGATAATTCAATAAGATAGTATCAAAGTATGCTTTGTAAAATAAGACCAAAAAAAAAAAAAAAAAAAAAATTGAATAGTTTTTGAATTTGAAAATGAGTTTATTGATGGATAAAAATTGTTAATTAGATGTATGAGTGAATGGATTTTTGGGTTGGAGAAGTCCTATTCCTTAAATTACCCTAATTAGGGTTTAACTTTTGAAATCCCACATTAATTCCAACTACAGTTGCGTCTCTCTGCGTGTGTTAAGTGTTTTGTTGAGAAGCTTTTCTTCTTCCCCACCACACTTCTCCCTAACCTCCTCTCTGCAAATCTCTTTCAACTTTTTCTTCTCTCTGCAAATCGTGAACCATTTTCGTAGTCTCCTTCCGTTTTTCACAGCACCAAAAAACTGTTGAAACGATTCACACACGCATACGCGCGCATCCGTTTGGATTCCGGCCTTCCCCTTTGAAATTCACTTTTTCTCCGATGAACCTTCGCCGCCGATCAAGCATCAAATCGTGTATTTTCGTGTGTGTGTGTCTGTGAATCTTCTGAGGGGAAATTAACCGTCTGTGTAGTAGTTTTCGTGCGATTCACGCCGCCGCTTTTGACGGCCATTTACACCTCCTGACATGGCTTCCACCGCCCCTGCCAAATCGCAGCCCCTGCACAACTTCGCCCTGCCGCGTCTCAAGTGGAACAAGGATGCTCAGCAGGGTGGCGGCCACCACCACCAGCGCCGCCGCTCGATCAAATCCTCCTCCTCCTCCTCCTCATCCCCGGTTCGCCACTCGCCGCTGCGAGAATCTGGTTCGGCGGCGACGCCGCCGCGCCACCATTCCCCTCTCCCGTCGGCGCCTCCTTCGCTGCGAGAGTTCCCTGTCCACAGCGATTCCCTCTGGAGGCAGCCGGCTCGGAGGTCGCCGATAGCCCCCGATCGGACGCTCCACCTCCAGAGGCACGACCCTGCTCCCGAATCAAGGTCCTCCGGCAAGGGTAGAGCCGATTCGTCTGAGCACCAGAGGTTTAACTCGAAAGTTCCGCCGACAATCCCCGATCAGAAATTAGAGACCAAATCGAAAGCAAAG